AAAGGATATGAACACTGTGTTCTCACATGGCAGAAGAATGGAAGAGCAAAAAGGATCTAAACTAGTTCCCTGTAGCCCTTTCATAAAGCACTAATCCATGAGGCTCCGCGCACAGGAGTTAATCACTTCCCAAAAGGCCCCATCTCTTGATATTAGCACAATGGGGTTGAGTTTCAACACATGAGATTTGGGAAACATTCATACCATAGCAGGGGCAAAGCAAGTGGCTTGTAGATAAGGAAATGACAGTTATAGGCTAGGCTATAACTTCCTGGGAAACTCAGCCTCTGTTGACTGCTTCTACATCAACTTTAGACTCAATTGAATCAAATGATCAAGGAGAAGTTATCGAGGATTTACAGTGTTCTCAGTTAACAGCTGATATAGAGAAATAAAAGACTGATTCCCATTCCTCAAAGAACAAAGGCTAACAGATGAAACAATTTGATGTAGTAAATAGTAATTTTTTTGTATGTACAGATGCTAACTGTCATTGAAGCTGTGGAAACAGGACCCTTAGTGCAGGCAGGATACTTGGGTAGTTGAGGATGTAGGACTTTCCCCACTCCTGGGCTAGCAATAATCTGTGAAGTTAGACTAAAGATACTCTCATTACCTACCAGTATGATAAAATAAACATTATACAAGGCATAGAATGATTTCATAAAATGCAAAGTAAAACAAATATGAAGGAATTATCATTATTATCTATAAGCCACAAAGGCCATTGCTTGTTTCACATTTGTTCTAAATTTCTGAACCAACAAGGAGTTAACAAAATGCTCCCCCACCCCTTATATGGCAATTAATGGTATGTCTAAAAATAGTTACTAATTATAATGGGCTTTTATTCTGAAAAGGAAAATATCAAGACAATCCCTCACAGAAGGAAAATTATTATCTTAGTTTCCATTAAGTAATTTCCCCCTCCCACCCCAAATACTTACAGTTGGGTATGGGCTCAGTGCCTTGGTAGGCTTGACTTCTTTAAGTCACTTTCTGTTTCTAACATCTCTAACTAATCATAGTCACAGAACTGACAAGTCCAAACTGGACAGCTGTTTCTTGAAAATAAAATGTCTAACGGCAAAAACTATTGCCCTTGCCAATGAAAAAGCAAAGGCATCTGTACTTCACAACTGAAACGGGCTGTTTCTTGGTTTTTCGGTTCCTTTGTAGTTTCAGGCCACATTTAGATGAATCTGTTTTGCTAAAATACTGAATTTTCCAGTGAAATGAGTCAGGTATTAGCCTTTTGTCAGGCATTACAGAATCACAACATGCTTAAAGCTACAGCATGCTTAATGTAACACTAATGCTGTTTTATTCATTTTCCTTAAATTCTGAGGAAAACAAGATGCCATGGCGTGGTTGTTTGGAGCAATTTTGGAGCTGAAAAATAACCATCATTCCTACTCATTTGTTTCCATGGTGAATTGTGGTGTGTTTCAGGAGATGTAGCCACGCAGAGAAGCTCAATCAGAACAGCCAAATGCCAGGGTGAACAACATACCCACAGGCAATCAAGGACCATACATGTAAAGAGTGATGTGATTTTAGGAACTTTTTAAAGAGAACATTTGGGCTACTCTACTTTTAAAAGTAAGATTATAAAACATATGCCTATCAAAAGTACTATAAATATTAGGTTGGTGCAAAAGTTATTGTGGTTTTTGCCATTGAAAGTAATGGCAACAACCACAATTACTTTTGCACCAACCTAATAATAACAATAGTAATTTTCTGGTTTCCATTTGAGGGGAAAAAAAGGTTACAGGAGAAGAGAGATAAAGAGAAGACAAGAAAGAATGAAAAAATTTTTAAAAATCACCAAAAAGAGCCATTCATGCAGGTCCAAAGCGGCTTTTCATGGAGTAATTACCCAAAGTGTGGCTTTTAAAAATATTTGCTAATAAAGACTTCTATAACTCCATGGAGGTTTTGTTACTAGGGTTCTAATAATAGAAATATTATTATATTTTTACATTTTCCTCTTCTCAAATAAGTATGTTGAAGGCCTGATTTGAGCTTTCAGAAACTTCTCATTCTGACCTGAAGTTTGTAATTCATCCCGTCTTACAGAGTGCTTCAAACTGTGGAAATAATACATAAGAGTTACTGTAAAGATGTTCACACTGTTACAGAAATGTCTTTTTGTCATTAAAGCCTACCGAATACATGAAGGACACAAACAAACAGAACTAGATTAACAATAATAGTGTTTTAGAGATGGTGATACTTAAAGTTATTTTAGCATAATGCCTTCATTTTACAAATGAAAATATCAACTCCCTCAAAACTGAAATAACTTATTTAAGGATCATAAAGGTAAGGGTGGTAAGGAATCCAAGTTGTGGCTTCTATTTCTGTTCTCCTGCCTCTGCATATAGTAAAGCTATGACATGCATGTAACCCTGTAGAATTTTCCACAACATTCCACATATACTCAAAAAGCCACCTTGAATAACTGAGCCAGATGGCTAGTCGATAAAAAAATTACACTTGTTTTTCCTAAAATCTCTGGATTGCAATGATATTTGCAAGCAGATTTTCTTTAAGTTGCTAGTAATAATTGGAATTTCTCTTGATTCTTCCCATGCCAAAATGAAAGAGTAGAATTTTTATTTTTGCTAGGACCATACAAATTCTAAAGAATTGAACGAGGAAAATAGATATATCCCTGGAATGAAGCTACTAATTAATTCTTTCACTCTTTTCTGGAACCTGTAACAACAACTTGCATCTGAGCCATCCCCAGAACAGATGAGGAGCAACCATCAAATATCTAAGATTCAAGGGGCAACCCTGACCTCATGCACATACTGTAGCCAAATACTTTTAGATTAAATTGCAAGCATTTTCTCATTGGAACACGCAGAACACATAATCAAAAATGTCATTTTTCAATGAGTTCACTTCCACTTAGTGGAGAAATCTATTCCTAAATTTGATACTAAACAGTTGTAGGACACATAACAAAACACTTTAGCATTATATGACTCAATTTCCCCATCAGTAAGATGGATATGATCTGACTTTTCCTCACTTGGATGTTGGGGCAATTAATGACAAATTCACAGCTCTAAACATCTTAGTCCATATTAAAGTAACAAGCTAAATATTGTAACAAATTGAGATGTAAGCCACTTTTTAATTCATTAAATCTAATTTTATTAAGGCTATATAAATTGAAGCTACCCCTCAATTGAATCACCTATTTTCACTTTTGTACAATAGATAAAATATTAGAAGCTAAATTAGAAAATTTCCCCGCATAGAATCTCATGTTCCCAAAGTCTCAAATAGTTTGGGGATGAAGTGTTGTGAATGGTATTAATGGTCTACAAGAATTTACAAAAAGCAGTTCCCCCTTTAAATCGGTTAAGTTAAATTGTCTAATAACAATACATTAGATTATCTATAAATCTTTGAAAATCATAGGAGCAAGTAACACCATATGAAATCACTTTAAGTTAGCATTAAACACTGGGAACTGCATTTTGAAGAATGATGTGCAATACAATTGGCAGGACATTGAGCACCACAGTCAGAAAGCCCTTGTTCTCTACTTTTATTGCTTTTTTTTTTTCTTTTCAAAAACAGCAGTTAGAATTTACCCATGGAAAGAGAAATTATATTTTCAATTTGTAGAACTATCAGGGCATGGAAAATGAAAACTCTAATTCCTAATTGTTAGCAACCCAAAAATTTGACAGGGACTATTTCTGCCTAGCTCTCAACTAAAAGTATCCAAGAGTTGCTAATGAAGTGATATTTCTACTGCATGTTTTAGACTTTTGGACTTTTCCATTGTTTATTCTAATCTGCATTAGCAATTATTCTAATGGGCAGAAATAAATTTAGATTTAGCAATGATGAGGTTAATTCAATCAATTTAGGTCAAATTCATTCATTTCCCAAGTGACTGTATGGTTTGAGTATCTAGCTTTATTAATACATATTAGCTAAAACTATACTTCTTTTTTAAAATTTGAGGACATCATGCTGATAAGCCCATTTAGGTGAGAATGTGGGACTCATTAAAATGTGGTAAGTTAGGTCAAAATAGTTTTGGTATTCTTTATGGGATTAAACACAGACACTCTGTGAAAAAATTGTTTTTATGTGTTTACATTATGAGGATTTAAAGATTTGGTACACATACCTAAACTATAAAGTCATGTTTGTTTGAATCCACTTGATATTGTATTAAGTCGTATCTTCCACCATAACACATTGGTATAGTAAAAGTCAAAGATAAGATTAGTCTAGAAAGGAAGAGCTGAAACTTTATTTTTGTCTGCTAATAACTAAAATACAGATGTAATTCCCTATAATTATATATTACATTTAATCTGTAATGAATAAAAACTCATCAGTACAAACATTATATAGTGTTCCTGGTAGACATTCAATTAACTTAGACTCTACTTAATATTTTCTTCCATTCATCCATCTAGCCCTCTCCATTCATCTAGCTGTCCAACATAATTGGAAAGATCTTCACTTGCCATGTTGAAACCCTTGTACAAGTACAACTCTGATGGACAGATTTTAATTCTTAGAGGCAATGATAGACTATAAACAAATCGTTTTCTAACTGCCTTATAATTTACAAGTCTTTCTATCTCCAGTGGAAATATAACTTTCAATGGCAAAACCCACAATTACTTTTGCACCAACCTAATAATACTTCATGTTATGAAAAGCAGTGTGATTTCATTTTCTTCATTCTCTCCTTTTCCTAGTTTTAAATTTAATTTTTACCCCCTTTTACTTTTAAAGTGTACTCCTTTGGGCCTGGAAGTTATTAAAGTCGACCCCTTGCTGAGTCAGTTACCTGTTAATGGATATTCCCTTAGACACCCAAAGATGGGAAAAGCTTTGAAACAATCAATTCTAGAGATTCTATTAAATTTTAGCCAAGACCTGGCTCCTCCTCAAATGGAGGTTGAAGGGAGTTATTGACATAAGAATGATAACATGGAGCAATGGTTTTATTCTTCCATTTTTTATTGGTTCCGTTTAATAAACATTAATTGACTGCTTACTAGATACCAGAACCTGGATGGCTCTCTTTCATCTCTATGGACTCCTCCTTGATTCACCCCTTTAAAAATGGATGATTTCTTCCAGGGGTCTGCTTTGGTCTCTCTCTTTCTCATTGGAGGTAGACTCTGGAAGACTTCTTAATGGATCTAATGAAATTGTCCTTCTCTCTTGCTATCAGTCAGTTCATTCTTAACTGAAAAGAATCAGATAAATAGTATAAAGGGAATACAAATTGAACAATTTAATCTATTCCTTCCTTGGAAACATTAGAAGTTTTAATAATAGGTAAATATATGTCATGGTAATATAGCTATAAAATTTCAGGTCCTAGTTGCAAGGCTGAGGGAAGGGAATTGAAGGCGGGGGCTTTTATCTCACTTGTGCAACACAAACCTCTTACATCATTATCTCTAGAAGGTTGGCCTACTTCCCTCATCTAGTCAGGTGAAGCGGGACCATTTCCCTGAACCAAGTTTGTAATGGGGTTCACTTTACTTTTGGAGAAGCAGTAGTTTGGAAGGAGAGTGATTCTGTTTTACAAGGAGAACATTCTTACCAGTCTCTGAACAGTAGCTCTACCACTGCCTGAAAACATTAGCAACCTGTTTATTTAAGAAAGTCACAGCAAGGACTCCTGTTTATAACAATATCCTCCCATTGCGTAAGACTTTCTCCCTACCATTTCCTGTGGTAAATTTGTTGTTGGATTCTAGAAAAAAGAATAGCTTGGGAGAAACTAAGATTTCTAGATAAGATTAAAACAACTCAGACACGCTCTCCGAGAAGAAAATGCTTCTTTGGAGCAGAGAGGAGGAAATTGGCCCAATTTGTAAAGTCTCCTGACCCATCAGGGAAGGACACGCTCCCCTGACTGGGGCCGGGTCAGCGCCAGCTGTATCCGCAGGCACCTTGCAGTCCAGGCCTTCAGGGGCTGCAGGTGGAATCCTGTGGCTGAGGACGTGACTCAGAAGTGGCAGCCAAAATTCCATGAATCTGGTCTCTCTGGCAGGTGGTCGAGGTATTGAAAGGGCTGGGCTTTGACAGCGGGAGGACCTAGGCCAAAACCTGAGGGAGTCTTAGCATGGAAAAGCTGACACTTGGCCTGGAAATCAAATTCCAGGCACATGTGGCAATGTGGTTGCTGTTTTACAAGAATGCTCAGGAAAAAGTCTCAGAAGCTGCCAGGGCTGGGTCATCTGCATCCTGCCCCAGCTCTACCGAGGGTCACAGGCGGGATAGTGTTGGGCATTTTTTTCCTCCCCCAAACTCCTGGTGCACGCGACTGATAGGATTCATGCTGCCCTCCTCCGTCGGCAGTCCACCCGCACCACTGGCTGAGGTCCTCGAGTGCAGAAGTTCATTTGGTGCCATGGACTCCCTTTTGCCCTTGGTGAAGCCCATGGACTTCTCAAAATAATGTTTTAAGATACATAAAATAAAATACACAGGATTACAATGGAGACCCATTTCACTGAAAATGAATTATCAAAATACTTTTTTCATTTATGAGCAATAGAAACGTGTGTGTATGCCTTATCAATTTGTTAAATTACAATATTTAATGGCAGAGCTAATAACTGATGTAATTTCAAAGTAGTGATGAGTGTCAAAAACATTTTGACATCTGTAATAACTGAAATGTGATTTGAAGGCACTTTATTTGATTTCTGTTGGCCTGAGGCACAGGTATTCCTAGTGCCACTCAGATTTGTTGCCTGTAGTTAAGAATGAAGGAAAGGCTAAATTTCAGTTAGACATTGATAAAAAACAAGATGTGATTTTTTTTTTTTCCTCAAGCTCACGGATGCCCAGGTTTAAACTCCTGCTCTAGCGCTGGTCTTCTGTGTTCCTCATTAGCAATCACACATCACTCTTGCCTTCTAGAATATCAAATAATCTGGAATGTCTCCTTTACCATGGTATTGCTGTTTGAAAAAGACAAGAAAGGGTTGAACAATTTTGAGAGTCTTCCATGTGCTGAAAGCTTTGAAACGTTTTCTCATCTAATTCAGTCTGCACAAATATTCAAAGTAGAAATGGTCTCCTTTGCTATATAGGCAAGGAAGCTGAGGCCTCAGAAGACTCAGGAAGCTCATTCAAGGCTTCAGCTGGTGAGCATCAGAACCAAGGTTTGAACCCAGAGCCCTATGCAGCCATGCTTCCTCCTTAAGTTTATCTTATTTTCTTAGGCGGATTAGTCAGTGGCCTAAAATCAGGGACTATGCAAGAGTTCTTAGAGACTTACTTCTAAGCTAACATGGTAAGGCTTACAGCGTGGTGGTTAAGCTTATAGGCTCTGGAGACAGACTTCCTGAGTTTCAGTCCCAGCTCTGCCATAACTTTTAAACTTTGGGCAGGTTACTTAACCTCTGTGTCTCAGTTTCCTCACCAGGTCATCGTGAAGGTTGCATGAGCTAATTCTAGTAAATGTTAGCTAGTATGATATTATTTGCAAGTCATGTGGAAAACATCTCATTGCTTTACAGCCATGCCTTATGTTTCCTTATGCCCTCTTGTCTTTAATCTTTTCTCATCCATTCATTCTTCATAATAAATCCAGACTCATTTCCAGTCTAATTGTGTCATTTCCCTGCTTAAAATGGTACAATGGCTCCCCATTGCCTTCAGGAGGAAGTCTAAACTCAGCCTGGTGACTTTAAAGGCCCATCATGATCTGGCTTGTCCTTGATTTTCCATTCACTTCATTTCCAATCTTGTTCTTTATATTTCAAACATACTGAATTATTTGAATTTCCTGAGTGTCTCATGCTGTCTGTAGCAAACCCTGCAGAATGTAATAGTAATTTTTCCATTTTTCCTTGCTAAAGAATACTAAATGTATTTACTGGTTCTGCAGTAGATACATCTTTAGAGAAGGCTAGGCCTCTTCCTAGTTATTGGGGATAAACCTTAATTATAGTCAACTCATTACCTTTTCAAAATAGCTTATTTAAGCACATCAGTGATATTATGTGACACTAATTTGACAAATTTTTACTCTGACAATTAGTGTCACCACTGACTAAGAGGAGGTTTGTTGAAGGTTTTTGGGATCCAAGACAGGAATGATTCCTATCATTACCTCTAGAATTTGATGAGTAAAGATACGATGTCTAGAGCTGCTAGGGCCAACTTATGATCATGAGTGGAACTGATAACTGTTGAGAATGGCAGAATGGGAAGATAAAATAATATAGATCCTTTATATTTTTGTGGAACTATTAAATTACTCTACCATTCCTCCAGGTGTGTTGTAATGTAAGATAGTGACCTTATTGTTTGAAGCATACTAACTTGGTTTTCTGTTTCTTACTTCTGAAAGCCTGATATGTTTCCTCACCTATTGTCCTTTGCACTTATTTTTTCTCTGCCTACCCACTTACTCTTTACCCAGTCAACTTCTACCTAGTTGGGTATCAAATTTTTCACCCTCCCTTACTACTGGTGGTGGTTATATGATACAGCCTGATCAGTCAAATAAAATCCAAATTTAGCTCAGAGGTTTTGGATAGCTGTTGTGTTTCTGAAAAATGAAAAAACCCAAGCACAACTGACTGTCATGTTCCTTCATTCTACCTATTTATTGACTAGAATGTGGACATATTATTTAGAGCTGCAGCTATCTGGTGACCTTAAGATGAGATGTACTAAGAAAAGGCCAGGATAATTTCAAAGACATCAACACTGACATCACTGAGCTGCTGAAACAATATCAGTAACTACCTAACTCTAGAGTTCTTATTAGGTGAGCAAGAGAAACCCTTATTTCTTTAAGCCTCTATAGTCAGGTTTTCTATTACCCACAGCCAAATGGATTCCTTACAGATACAAAGATACTTAGTATATATTTATTGAGCACTGGATTAAACATATTGCAACAGTTTGCTCACTAATAAAGAATAGTCTTTCAAGAAATTTCCAACCTCAAGTATAATAAAATAGGTTGTGGCGGGTCAATTTTTCTATTGTAACAATGGAAAAAAGGTAACTAACAAGAATTATGTTTTAAAGACATCGTAGAGCTGTGAAAACTGTGAAGAATAGATGAACTAAAATTCTAGAGAGTGGAGGACTACTCAGGGTTGAGATGACCATCACAAGCCATTTTATTATTTAAAAACTTGTTGGATATTTAGCAACAGATTGGTCATAGCAGATGAAAGGAATTAGTGGCCTAGAAGTTATGTCAATAAAAATACACTCAAACCTAAGCACAGGGAGAAAAAAAGAATAAAAAAATTGCATAAGAGACAAGTGAGAACTACTTAAATATATGTATAAATGATTTCTAGAATGAGGGGAGAGAGAATGTCAGAGATAATAACTAAGCATTTTCCAAAATTGAAGAAAGATATTAATCCACAGATTCAAGAAGCTTAGCATGCCCCAAGCAGTATAAACACATAGATAACCACATGTAGGCACATAGTTATCAAACTTTTAAATTAAATGTATAATCAAGATTTTAGAAGCATTGAGAAAATGAAAAGAAAAATAAATTCAAAGAAACAGAAATAACTTACATGACTTACATCTGATTTGTCAAAGGAAATTATAGAAGCCAGAATAAAATGGAGTAATGTCTCTGAAGGCCCAAATTGTGGAGAGGGAGGGGGAAGTGAAAATATTCTTCAAAGATGAAGGCAAAATAAAAATATTTCCAGAAAAGCAGCAACCCAAAATATGAATAGCCAGTAGGTGTTTACTATAGGAAATATTCAAGGGACTTCTTCAGGCAAAAGAAAATGACCCCAGAAGGATAACTCAAAAGGCAAGAGTGAAAAAAAAAAAAAAAAGAATACCAGAAAAGATATATATGTGGGTAAATAAGCAAATATTATATGTAAATGTATATTGGCTGTAGAAAACAGTTATAATGATGTCTTTTGAAGTTTCAAATATGTGTACAACTAAGATATATATCAAAAATAATGAATAAAAGAGAAACTGAGTTTAAAAGGTCTACAAGTATTTGGGAAGTGGGAAAGTTAGAAATCTGTATTAGATCCTAATAAGCCACATCATAAATTCTAGGGTAACTATTAAAAGAAAACAAAAGAGTGTGTATAACTAACAAATCAGAGAAGGGGAAATAGAATATAGAATAATGTTTAACCTATAAGGAGACAAGAAAACAAAAACTAAAGTAATATAAAACAGATGACCATAAAAGGGGGAAAAAAGCTAGCAAAATGGTAGATACAAGTCCTACAATATTTGTAATTACATTAAATATAAGTGGACTAAATAATCTAAGCAAAACAATAAGATTATCAGACTGGATAAAAAGTAAAACTTCACAATATGCTGTTAATAAGAGATGTACTTTAAATACAAAGATCAGAAAATTTAAGAATGAAAGGATAAAAATATATCATGTAAGAACTAACTGAATAAAATTTTCGGTAGCTATACTTATATCAGAATATTTGGACTTTAAAGGGACAAACTTCATTGGGGATAATCAGGGACATTTCATAATGATAAGGAAATCATTATAAAATGAAGTAATCACACTTTTAAATGTGTGTACCTGATTGCATAATTTCAACACACATAAAACAAAAAAAATGACAGAAATGAAAGGATCCATGGAAAAATCCATAGTCATAGGGAGACTGTGATGAATTAAGGTATATATTGTAAACCTTATATTAGGGATTAGCAATTTTTTTTATCAAAAGCCAGATAGCAAATATATATATATATATATATATATTTTTTTTTTTGCAGGGAATATGGTCACTGTCACACCACTCAAGTCTACTATTGTGGTACAAAAGCATCTATTGACAATACATAAATGGGCGTAGTGGTATTCCAATAAAAGTTTACTTTTAAAAACAGCACACACATACACAACACACGCACACAGTTTATAAGCCAATAACAGAGATCATAAAGTAGTAGGAATCACAAAGAACACTCAATTCGCCCAAAAGAAGGCACACACACACAAAAAAAGAAGAAAACACGTGACCAAAACAACAACAAAAAACCAAAACACCTAGTACACCTAGCTTATCACTAATGAAAGTGATATTTTAAGCTCCATTTTCATGTTTCCTGTGTTCACCTTTCAATTACTTTGGACATCAGGTGGAGAAAAATGAAGTATTATTTATTGACTTCCTAAAGCACCAAAATGTATGAATCTCAAATTGAATTCAGCCCCTTTACTTTCACATACTCACCCTCCCCCAAACACACACACAAGCACACACACAAATCCTACTCACAGAAGTATTTTCATGTTCAGAAAAGTCTGCTAAAAGTTTAGGGAAATAAAGAGAAGGTTTTACATTATAGCTGATGTGAACTTCAGATTGCATATTAAACATGTTCCTTCTTAAATGTCCTTTGGCAGTATTCTGCTTCCAGCTAGGGTAGAATAGATCATGGGGGACAGTAATCTCATTGAGAAGAACTAGAACTAGTAAGTAAAATAATTTTATATGTGAAGGGTTAGCAAACTATGGCCCACAGGCCCATTCCAGCCATGCCTATTTTTTGTGTGTCTGATGGCTGTTTTGTGTTTTGTGCACAGTTGAGCCATTGTGACAGAGGCTGTTATGGCCTTCAAAGCCAAAAAAAAATTTACTATCTGGCCTTGACAGGAAAGTTTGCTGATTCCAGATATTTAAAGGCACCAGAGAAGATCAGAAGTGTTGAAGACTAAAAGGGGTATAATTTCAGAGAAGAAATACTCAGAGAAAAGTTGAGGAAATGCAGCTGGCCCTGGGGCATTTGTGGATTCTTGGTGAAGGCTAGAGTGTGGGGATCTAGGTTTGGCTTGGGTAGGGAGTCCTGGATGGAGGACAAATAAATCAGCAGAGATTTTGGTGGTCACATGGGACAGAAGCGACAAATATTGGCAAGCTGAGGAGCATTTTCCCCTGGATTCCAAAGGTGGGTGCAGCATGAGGCTAAGGACTAAGCTAAAGCCTTGCAAAGCAAAGCTTCCCATTGCATGGGAGACAAAGCCCCACAGTGGGAGGAAACCTGCTAACATCTGGTGAGAATCTGAAGCCCTAGATTAATAATCAGTTAGCATTGGTGAGTCACAACTTTTACCCAAAGACAACTTGCTTATAAGAGACATCATGAATGGAGAATCCGTGCTAGGACCTTAGTGAAGGCTTATTGTTAGAGGACAGAGAAAAAAGTCCTCCAACAGTTAGTACCTCCCTTGGTGGGGGTAAATGACTAGAAGGGGACAAAATGGGGGGTTGTGTGTGATAATGTTTCTATTTCATAGTCTGGGTATGTTCATTGTGTAAAAATTCATTGACTGTACAATTTGGATTTGTGCACTTTAGGGTATGTTATATTTCAATTAAATTTTCTCCTAAAATAATTATTTAGACTACCCATCCTTACTTTTCCTCTAGCCACAATTTCTATGAGTTTCCAAGATAAAACAGTTTAGTTACATCTTTTGGCTATTTGACTCCCACTAACCCACACCTTCAAAATCTTACCTTATACCACAAGACACTTACTGATTTAATTTCCTAAGTGCAGTTTCTTTTTAAAAAATAATTCCGGAGTCATGGTTAAAATTATTTATTTTCACCCCTCTTTAGAAGTAATGGCCATATTCAGCACAGCAACATGGCACAAGTATACATATGTAACAAACCTGCACGTTATGCACATGTACCCTACAACTTAAAGTATAATAATAATAAATAAATTAAAAAAAAAAAAAAACCAAAAAAAAAAAAAAAAAGAAGTAATGGCCATATTGTATTATGTGTGGGTCAGATTAGCAGAATATCACAACTTAAGAAGAACACAGAGAAATTGGAACATGGCCAGAGGAGGGCAAATAGCAAGATAAAAGTATATGGGAATTATGTTGCATGTGAAACATTTTTAGCTAATGGGGATTTTCCAACTGAAACATAACAGATTAGATTCAGAGGGGTAGTACAATCAATGCTTTCAAAACCATAACATATTTTGTAAAAGAATAATCTATTCTAAGTATTTTGATGTCAGAATAGGGATAAATGGTTGGCTATTACCTGGTAGTTTCCCTTGAATGTTCAATTATCATTTATAAAAAAAGGTTATGTTACTCATTCACTAATTGAACAGAAATTTACTGCATGATGAATACATTATAATCTCTGCTGCCAAGTAGGTCATAGTCACATACGGAAGACAGGTCTAAACGATTATATAAGAAGGCAAAGATTCACATAATTACATCACGAGGTGATGTTGGAGCTCAGAATAGAGTGAGATGGGTGAAGAGAAGGAAGTGAAGAGGTGAGTTCAAAAGCAGAACTCAAGGGTCTTCTCACCCCCAAACCTGCTCTCCATTCTGTATACTGTATAGAAAGGAACAATCTCGCCATCCACTCATTTACTCAAGCTGGTAGTCTGAGAGCCTACATGATCTCACCCACTCCTGTACCCTCACATCTAAACCCAGCAGCCTCTCATTTCTGTGGATCCTAGCACAAACCATTTCTAAAAAATACATTTTCATTCCTGTTACCACTGCTGAGTTTAGAACCCTGCATCCCGTACCTGAATAGTTCTGTGACGTCTTAACTGTTCTCCTGCCTCCAGCCTTGGCACCCTCAAATCTGAGCTCACACAGACCTTAGGGTTACTTTTCTAAAATAAAAATCAGGTCATATAAATGTCCTGCTTCAAGTCCTTCATAGGCTCTTAGAGGTTAGAAAACCTCTCACTCTGTGTCTTAGGATGTGAGGCCCTTCCCTCTTTGGCTCTTGCCCATCCATTCAGCTCATCTCAGACCAGCTACACATTTGTACATGCCCCACGTTCTAATAACACTGACCCATTGTAGTGACTCTGCACTCTAGTCAGTCTTACACATTCACATCTGTATTCTCCATTTCCCTTTATCTGAAAGGCCCTTCCTCAGCTCGCCCACCTGAGAAGGCTTCTCCCTCCATGCCGTAGCTTTAACCTCAATCCTGTAAGTCCTCCCAGGCCCCTGCACTTGGAAGAGAGACAGCATCTTTATTTGTGCATTAACTTTTTTTCTGCAGATCTCTAAAATAATTTCTGGCTTCACCTCTCTTCTCACCAGGCTTTGCTCCTGAGAAGCTTGAACAAGACTGTGTAATATCTTGGTTAAGAATGTAAATTCTAGAGTTGGGTGGCCTGGATTTGAACTCTGGCTCTATTTTCTATTAGCTGTGTATCTTTGGTTTGTTTATGGCTTTGAGCCTCAGTTTCTTTATCTGCACAACCAAATGAGGAATCACCTGTAAAGTGCTTAGAGCAGAGCCTGACACATAGTAATTCCATAGTAAATGTGATCTATTATTACTATTGTAACTACTATTATCTCTGCATGGGGAGTGTGTTACCAAGAAGATAGTATGTAGGAGGTCCTTAATAAATATTTAATGCATGTTTTCCAACTTTACACTTTGCAGGAAAACTATGTTGGAACACACATACACATGCACTCACGCATGCACGCACACATACAGCCCCGGGGGACTAGAAGCTGAGAAATTTACCTGTCATATATACTTCTTCCATCATAGCAATCCATTTCTGGTCCTCAAAGGGGAAGGTTGTCCTCATAGCCAAGTCTCTCAGTCCTATAGTCTTCCTGCTGCAGCATTTTAGGAGGAGTTCAGTACTTTAAATCAAAGAGGTAGCTATAGAGCTACCTCAGTGACATTTATCCATAAAGCAATGACAGGTGGGAAGAAACTTGGGGATGAAAATCTGAACCCACAGCAGCCGTTTGACTGCTCTGTTTAGGAGCAAGTTTTCACATAACTCAAATCAGTGCTATGCTCCAACCTAGAAGTATTAAAAAGTATCTTCTAAGCAAAAACTATTTACTGTCAGCTTTTATATCATTAGAATTTGATACAAAAAGTTATATAATACAGTCTTTGTAATGACACTATTTTGGGCCTGTCCTTGTCACTTTGCCACACCAAAACCATCTAAGCCTAATTATATGGTAAGATTTTTTTTCTTTTATTCCTGGATTCTGAATAAAATTTGTTTGAGCTGCAGAGTACTTGTTTCTTTATATTTCTAAGGAAGCTTTCATAACATGGTAGCCAAATTATGTGAAAAATGTATCCCTGTGGTGATGTCATTTTCAAGGGCAAACATACTTGGAATATGAAGTATTCCCATCAGGAATCTCTGAGATCTCACATCTGTACTCTTAACCCCAAGAGGTTATCAAATGATAGTAGTTGATTGTAAAAGGGATGACTTCTAATGGGGTGTTGGCAGGCAGGCTGGCCAACAGTCAGAGGTCACTGCACAAATATTTATAGAGGAAGTGAAGGCTTCATTTTTGCTTTCACTATCAGACAGCTCTCACAAATGTGCAAAGAAAGACTAATGCTTGGGATTAAGATACCCTTGTACATGGGAAAATCCAGAAATCGATAGCTTGTTGGTAGAGTCTTACATGGTGTCAAATGCCAGCCTATAATTATTTAGTGTAGGTCATCTAAAGGATTTTCATAATAAAGAGAAAATGTCCTCAATAAATAAAGCCAGGCCAAGACGTTTGAAGAAAAATGCATCACCTGCCCAAATAGAACATGAAGAATCCTTTAAGAATATGCAGACAGTAATTACAAAACTGCACGGAAATATACATTTGTTGATGACTTTAATATGGTTGCCAAGATCTAAAAGTAGAGACACTTTTTAATTCCTTTCAGACCAAAGATGTATTATGGCAAGTCCTCTGATCTCCTCTTCATTCCCAGAGCAAGATAGGAATGATCATTAGTACAATTAGAGGACGAAATTGGAAAAGAACAAGTGGATACTCAGGTGGTCTTTTGGTTGGTTCATTGGGGAAGCAACATGGGGTGGTGGCTAGAACATAGGTTTTGCAGCAAAAATGACTCAAATCAGAACTGTCTCCACTTCTTGTTAAGTCTGCAAATTTCTTAACTTCTCTAAACTCCGTTTTCATCTTCTGTAAAATGGAGACAATCCTCAGGGTCCTTGTGAGGATTAAATGAGATCATGACTATGAAACCTTTAGCACGTTTCCTAGCATTCAAACATTATTCCAAAATATTTGTTATTGTACTATGGAATGAGTGACTAGAGGAAGGGGTCACCTTTTGTTTCATTCATTTCACAGAGTGCAACCTGATTTTTTAGAGAGTGTTGACAAGTCTTTCAGGGATCAGTGTCAATGTTTTCAAGTCTCATAGGAGAGCCAGAAGAACCCAGACACAGACTTCCCAGCTATAAAGTAGGAGAAAGGCCTGTTAAAGCCAAGAACTGCCTAACACCAAATGCTGTGAGTCTGGCTTACAAAATAGTTTATGTTGATTCTTTGATTCATTGCTATGGGTAATGACTACTGCAGGAAGGACGGGACCATAGTGATGGCAGCAGAAGTGAGAGTTCTAGGATGAGTCACAGAATAATCACACCAGACCACATGGATTGTGCATGCCTGCCAGACAACTGACTTCTTTCAGTGTGCAGATTGAAAGGCATATATGAGGATTTATCAATCTACTTCCAGGTATCAAAAAAGTAAACACAGTCAACAGATAGCGAGGCTTGCAGTTAATTGGTAGCCCATGAATCTCTGGTTCTGATATTGTTAGAGGAACCATAAAATATAATTTCATGTATGATGTCTTTCACAGTTACCCAGTGGGGAAATTTATGACATTCTTTATATATCTCACAATTAGCTGATGACAGCAAAAATAAGATGCTGACTATTTCCTAAGTTGAGAAAAACTCACATTTTTATACAATTATGCCCTGGTTATCAACTCTTCCTGCTAATTTTGTTTTGAATTGGGTCTTTTTACAAAAAGACCTGACAACTTAGACGTGTGCTATTTATTAATAACTGTTTTATGAGGTTCAGCCATCCCATAAATACATACTGTACTCATGTAACCAACATCTAATGTTCTTAAAGGACTAGACCAAGCTCTGTTTTTTATATTAAATGTGTAAAATTAGTTATCTTCACTAGTTATGATACAAAAGATGCAACAAACTCATTTAAGCCTTTACCTTGGAGTACTCTTTTATGTTCAGTATATAAAAATTTATTTTTAATTGACAAATAATCATTGTATAAATTTGGAAGAATGTGATGTTTTGATACATGTATATATTGTAGAATAATTAAATCAAGCTAATTAAGTTATCACCTACTTTTTTTGTGGTAAGAACACTATCTTGGAATACCTTTTAAGCACAATCTATGATGACAAGATTGCAGCTGTGAGTGCATATTTGCATTATATATGCATCTGTATGTTTATGACTAGAAGGGAATATGCAAGTAACCTATTGTGATAAGTAGTGACATTAAAACAGATTCAATTTTCATCCTCCAGATCCGTACCTTACTACATTGCTAATGGGTTTCTTTTACAATTAAAATAACGTAAGATGAAATGAATTGGCCCAATTTTTTGCTTCAGTAGACAGAATTTAGTGGCATCTTTTTGGGATGATTTAGGACCATATGGGGAATTGAAGTGAACATCGTGAGCATCCACATTTTTATGGAAAGTAAGAGAAAGGGAATCAAGTGTGGTGACTCCAGAATATGATATTCTGGTATATTAGTTTCCTGTGGCAACTGCAACAAATCACCACAAACGGAGAGGCTTAAAACAACAGAATTGCATTCTCTCACAGTTCTGGAGTCCAGAAGTTCAAAGTCAAGGTGTTGGCAGGGCTGGCTCTTTCTGGAGGCCTTGGGGGAGAATTGTTCCATGCCTCTGACCCAGCTTTGGTGGCTGCTGGCAATTCTTGGTGCTCCTTGTCTTGTAGGTGCATTGCTCCAATCTCTGCCTCTGTCCTCACATAACGTTCTCGGTGCGTCTTCTTCCATTCTTTTCCCTTATATGAACACTTGTCATTAGATTTATGGTCCATCCTAATCCAGGATGATCTCGTTTCAAAATTCTTATCTGAATCACATTTACAAAGATCTTTTCTTCCCAAATATGGTCACATTCTGAGATTCCAGGCCATCTGCAAGCCAAGGAGAAAGGCCTCAGAAGAATACCAAACCTGCCAACACTTTGATCTTGGACTTCCATCCTCCAGGAGGGTGAGAAAATAAGTTTCTGTTGCTTAAGCAACCCAGTCTGTGGTATTTGTTATGACAATTCTAGCAAACCAATACAATGTCTTAATATACAGCAAGTTGTGTTTTTCAAGATTAGTACTCAGAAAGGAAGAACGTGCCTTATAGTCAAATCATTCGAACATTACAAAACATTCAAACAAGCATTTTATATTAGACAATGTGGTATAATTTGGAGGAAAAAACACTAGCTTGAAATGACTATAATCAGTGCTAGTTTGGGATGTTGTATGGTGGTCACCTAACAAAACCGGTTTCAAAAGTCTTAATAACAAAAGGAAACAAATTATTTCACAATTATTTTTTAGTGTATAATCTCACAGTGCATATGTTAAATTTTTTTTAAAATTTGATTTTAAGGTGTTCTTTAAAAATCAATACCTTAAGTGGTTATGTTATAGAGATAAAGCATGCACTTGCAGAATAAATAGAATGGATATCTATTATGTGAATGGGTTGGAAGAATATGACTCAGGATAAAATTTCCAGTGACAATATTATATATATAAATCCAAAAAAGTGCTAGTTCTCTATCTCAAACAACTTAGGTGAAAGCGAGAATGACAATTCCATTGTAGAAAACTGTTATGCTGCTTCCAAGATGACTGTGTTGATTATTGTATTGGTACCATTTTTTTGTCTGGTGGGTAGGGAGGAGAAAACGCTTTAGTTCACAAGTAGTCGGACTGAGAGGAACTGTACCTGAGGAAGTAGACCCAAGGAGACTCCACTGCATACAGACCTGATTTAGGTTATGGAACCTGGGATGAAACTCGCTTTCATAAGAGCCCTGAGGCGTGTTTGTGTGTTGATGATTCTTCTGCAAGCATCATTCAGAGGCTGAGATTGAGGGAAGTTCTGCCATCTTTAACATGTTACATCTAGGGTCACCTTGCCTATTGATACCCACTGTCAGAGAGGTGAATGTTGAAGATGCATGTGAAAAATGTGAATAAAGTTGTTTTGTTAAATAGGAGTGAAATAAGGTAATATATTTATCAATTTTCACATGTAAATACTTATAAGTAAATTAAGAAATTAAATATTATAAATTGAGAGTTGATTATTTCAAATATATTTTCCAAACCTTGATGTTTAAAGGTGGTCAAAATAATAATTTTTTAAGACTTTTGTTATTGGAAAAAGAAGAGATTGCCTTATATGTGGCATCATTTTCTATTCAGGCATACATAGAAAATGTATTTAAAAATTATTCATTGCTATGTTACATTACTCCCAAAAATGTGTTCTGAAGAATAGAAATTCCTTAACTACTTTTAAAAGACAAGTTTTCAGTCAAGCAACCATGGGAAAAGCTACACTCACAATCTCCCTCATAGAGAATCCAGTACAGATCAGCATAGTAAAAGGCTCTGGAAAGATCTTCAGTAAAAAAACTAGTTTAATTTTGTTTAACCTAGCATCTCCCAAACATGATTTATTCAAAAGACAGAGCTCTCTATTGTTAACAAATAGACTTTTCTTTTGTAGCAGTTTTAGGTTTACAGAAGTATTGCACTGAAAGTACAAAGAGCTTCCATCTACCCTCTTTTCCCTGGTACACAATTTCTTCTATTATTAATATCTTATTGTGGTACATCTGTTATAATTCATGAACCAATATTGATATATTATTATTCATTAAGGTGCATAGTTTACATTAGGGTTCACTCTCTGTGTTGTAC